CGTAGGGGGTGGAGTGGAGTCAGATCCACAGCAGCATGGAAGAGGGGGGAACGGGGCTGGACCCAGAGCAGCGGGGAGGGGGGCATGGAGCAGGATGGGACGTGCATTGGCAGGAGAGGGGGGTGTTGCAGAAGGAGGCGTTCTGTCACGTCATTGCCTGGCAGCAGGGTGAATATGGAGAGTTTGTGATCAAGGACCCTGACGAGGTGGCACGGCTGTGAGGCCAGAGGAAATATAAGCCTCAGATGAACTATGACAAGCTGAGCCGGGCACTCAGATACTATTTCAGCAAAAGGATTCTTCACAAGACAAAGGGCAAGAGGTTCACCCACAAGTTCAACTTCAACCAGCTGGTGATACCCAACTACCCATTCATTAACATACAGCCCAAGGGTGTCGTGCCACAGAGTGCCCTGCCTGTTCCCACTGCCTGGTTCCATTTCCCACCTTTAGACAGCCACTCCCCCACCGAGGATGCCCAGCCCAGCCCGTTGCCCACAGGGCTCCTGGTGCCATTCGGCCAAGAACCTTTGAGTGACAGCGGCGAGAGGAAGCCCGATGTGCCTGAGCTGGAGGACGGCTCCTCTGACTGGCAGCGCGGCGTGGATCTCATGGCACCTCGCAATGCAGTGGGCCCCAGAGGCATCAACCCTCAGAAACAATCATGCTGCCTCTCTTCACAAGGCCTAGGGTGTAACTGGATCCTCACAGCCCTTTTGCCATGTCCCCTCTGCCGGGGCGCGGCGGGGTCTTGAATGTCCCGATCTCACCTGCCATGTCCCTGACTCCAACTCTTTTCTCCTATAGCCCCTCGCCAGGTCTCAGCCCTTTCACAGGGAGCAGATGCTTTTCTTTCAACCCTGAAGAGATGAAACATTACCTGCATTCACAAGCCTGCTCTGTCTTCAACTACCACCTGAGCCCGTGGACTTTCTCTCGCTATCCAGGGCTCATGATCGTACCACTACAGTGCCAAATGCCTCCAGAGGAGCAAACCCAGTTCCCCACCAAGGTGCAACCTCCTCCTGTTGGACGCAAAAACAGGGAGAAACTGGAATGCACTGAGTCAGCTGCCCCCCAGCTCACTACCCCTTCCTCCAGGGTGAAGATTGAGCATTTATGGCTCACCAATTCAAGACCACAGTCCTCCAGTTTAGATTCCTGGCCTGACATCAACAACAGGAAGACCAAGTCAGGCCAGAAATAAAGTCAAATGTTACCTAATTTAGTGACAAATTATGGATGTGGCCCACAGGTAGCTGGAAAACAGGGAATATGGGCCCACCAAGCAGCTGGAGTTTGACACCACTACCCTATATGAATCTGCTGTGTACAGCTGCATGGCCACTCATCTCTAAACAGGGCTTTGATCCTTTCTGTGTCTGCTGTGCATGAGTTTGCATAGCCTCTAAAAAGAACATGAGCTTTCCGCACATGCCACTGAGATTCCTTGAAATTTGTCCTTTTATTGGATTTTTTAATTTTTGTTCCATGTGACCAGTTTCTCCCCAGACATGTTGGCCAACTTCATTCTGAGCCTCCCTCCTGCCTTTCCAAATCAGACAGGACAGAGGATATTAACAACAGTATCTCCTACCCATATCAGAAAGGCCAATGCCTGTTTGAAAGAAATCAGGAACAAAAGTGGGGAAAAAATCCCTATTCACCAGGAACAACATTCAGGTGTTTTGTAAGCATGGTTCTTTGGGTAGATGTGATATGTTTTATGCATCTGGAGAGGTTGCCATGGACAGGTTTAACATGGCATCTGACCATGCTTGGCAGTGAAACCATCAGCATGCTGAGTTGCTCTGAGCTACCTGTCTCTGAATCCAGCAGCACTGCTGTGTTTGTGCAGCTGGTAATTAGCTTTGGGTGGAGAACTAAGTTAAATTAACACCATCACTCAACAGTGCCAATTTACCCAGCAGAAATACTGTGTGAAGGTGATTAAACTGCTTCCAGGTTAGTAGGCCACTTGCAGAGGACAGCCCAGCTTGCTTATGGACTCTACTGCTGGGCATAATAAATTTACCATGCAGATGGGGCCAGGGAAACTTTCCCTGATGGATAAATCCCTTGAATCCCTGCCCCAGGGAGGGAAGGTTCCTAAAACATGAGACTAAATGTAACCTAATCCTGGCAGCTGTGGGTGGAGGGCAGACAGTGACAGCAAAGTGAGAGTCCATGAAGTTGCAGGGCAGAAAGGTCTCTGGGGCATTGCTTGGCTTCCCCTTTCATTATTTCTGAGCAGGCAGCAGGCATAGAACTGAAAATGAGCAACTCCAGAACATGAACAGTTTAACAAGGCATGGCCAGACCAGCTGACATTGAGTAATTAACATCATCCCTAGTTTTAAACAACACAGCCCATGCAAATTAAATCACATATACTTAAACCAGCCTAATAACAAATATTACATCAAACAAAGTGCTAACTAAGACAAGCCAAATCAAACTGGAGCAAGGCACAAATGAACAATCTCCACTAAATAAAGTGAGGTGCACTTGATGGAAAACCTTCAGTGAGGGTAAACAGCATCAGGCATAGGCGGCATCAGTTGTCTGCACTCCCCACTTGCTTTCTTTTACCCTTCCTTCTTTCCCATGTGCCGCAGCACAGCACAGCACAAGCACTAATTGAGAAGTGCTTGCAGCACAGCACAGCACAGCACTTTGCACCATGTCCTGGGGAGATTACTGATTTTGGAGGTGCTTCTTGCAGCTCAGCACTACTGCAGATAGGCGCTCCAGGAGTTCATAGCCCCTCTGCCTCTCCTAAAACTCACACTCCCACCTTTCTCTCTCTTCCTGCTTCTGTGATGATGCTTTCCAGGACTTCATGCCTCTGATGCAGTTCATGCCAATTTGTGGTGCAGCCCTTCTCACACTCTGCTTCACTGTCCTTGTGCTGAGGCTGGAAGCAGGAGGACCTGAGTCTCCATCCTGCAGTGGAACATGCAGACAGAACATATAGTCTACGCTCATCTTTTTTTTCCTTCCCCTCTACGTTAACAATGGACTCCCTCACACAGCGGCAATAGCTCACACTTTGCACCTTGTACTCTTGCTGGCATGTCATCCCTGTTGATGTTTGAGCCCAGCAGGTCAGAGGCAGCAGGTAAACAATGGGCAACCATATGCCTCTTTGTGGTCTAGTATTGGCTGTGTGTGTGTGTGTTGGTGGGAGCATAGAGAACTAAAATGACTCTCTTGTCTTACAGACTGGGCAATCTCTTGGCTAGGGACAGACATTCAAAAAGCCTGAGCCTGAAATGATTCAACTTTTGCAGGTTAGTCTATCCTGGCTAGGCTGAACTGGTTTGTAACCACACAAACATCTCCTCTGGACTGAGGAAGTGCAGGCACATTCCTGCAGTGGCTCACTCTAGAAGCTGGGGGCACTACAGCAGCCCTCCCTTTCCAGACATAGTGCTGAACTGAGGGTGGGGGGTGTGGCCAGGCCCTGGCAGGATGCTGCAATTATGGAGGGGTGCCCTCCCTCCCCTGTTGATAATAGAGCATTGAGTTGGGGGGATGTTAAAACCTAGCTCTGAGTTGGCCTCCTGTCACATAGGTTTACACCAGTTTCTGGTTCCTTAAACTGGTTTATATGTAATGTCTGTCCCTAGCCCTTAAGCTAATAACAATGTTGTGATTCCTGAAGGCAACCTTCCAGGTCAGTGATACTGTGATGGTAAAGTATGTGTACATACATATTAAGTACCTGTCAGCTGCACAATAATAGAAGATCCAAGGGCAGTGGGGTAATTCTTGTCATTGACACAGGGCAGCTATTTGCAAAAGTACCTAAATGCTTTAGGAAGCTGAATCCCACTAACGTTCAGCCAATTAAATTCCAATCTATGATCCACAAATAACTTTCGTGCTGAAGTTTTGCACTGTTCAACCAGCTGTAGTTAAAGTGCAGGTAGTACTTTAATGTAGTTAAAGTGGCCAGAATAAGGGTGGGGGAGCAATTGAATCAATTAATATCTAAATCTACAGGAAAACAAGAATTCATGCCTGGCTTTCTCCTCCCTTGGTAAGGTGCAATGAAGATTTGTGGTCCCAGAGAAGCACTGAATAATGTTAATGAACATGACTAATGGTTTCATGTGAGAGACAGGGAGGGGGTGGTATCTTTTATTGGACCAACTGCATAGTTGGATAGAGTGAGACAAGCTTTCAAATGACAGACATCCTTCTTCAGGTGATTTTTTTAGTAATTAATATAGGAGTTTTGTGGCCATGGGCTCTGGTTCCAGATAAGAGTAGAAATATACCTTCTTAAAGTGCAGCAGCAAGTGAGTGACACGTGTTTGACTTTGTATATTCGGTCACCACAAAACCAGAAGCTGCCACATTCTTCTGAAAATAATCCCTCTTAGTCAACAGTGTCTGGCTGCTGGGAAAGAAGCAAAACTGACTGAAGGGATTTAACAGCCCTGGAGTCCTGCTGAGATTTGCAACATGCATCCAAGCACACTGAGATCAAATACTTGCAGCCACATTTTATCTGGCTGCAGATTAGACCATGAAGTGATTTGAATCTTCACAGCTGCATCTCTAGTCTTTGTTCTTTTCCCACCACATCTCTGCTTCCTGAGCTGCTCCCTGGACTCTTGCAGTTCCTTCACTGTCAGCCCCCAAGCCCCTCCTGCAGACAGAATGGTTAAGGGGCCTAAATGCTTTCTGTTGAATTGCCACCCCACCCCACGTCCCCTACACCATTGCCTACCTGTCTTTCTCCCCACATGGAATCCATGACTTCTGGTTGGCCTCCACGGCTGCTGGGTCAAAGAACACATACATCCTGGCCAGCTGGGTTTCACTGGGGGAAATGTTATGGGGGAGAATTCAGACCTAACAAACCTGATGGCGGTAACACAACACTGCCTAGCTCCCTCAGCCCCACCACTGGCTGTTCCCTCACTCTTATTTCATCTTGGCCCTTAGCCTGGGACAACTACAGGGCTGGAACCACCTGGGTATCCTGTAAGGTGACCAGGACAAAGGGTTCTTGACCCTGGGTTCTTGTACAAGTAATGGGGGCTTAGTCCTCAGGGTTGCAATCTATGCCCCATACATTGAAATGGTGGGTTTTTAATTGAAATGGCAGGGTTTTATTTTTCCATCACTTTTATGGTGGGAGGCCTGATCTGGTTTTGGGGATTTTTTTTGGTGAGGGGACCAATCCTTTTTTTTTCCGGCAGAGCCTGCCTGTGGCCAAGGGGCGAGCTGCCAGCAGGCCGAGTAGCCCCTGAGCTGTGGGGATCCCTGAGCCTTTCCTTCACGGCAGTGGTGCCCCCTGGGGCCACCTGGGCAGGACTCCTAGTGGGCTGGGTGCTGCCCCACTTTGGACACAGCATCTGGCCTGATCCAGCTCTTCCTCAACCCCAAGCTGGGGCAGCACCTGGCCCACCACCAGCCTGTTTAGCTGGCCCCAGGGGGCATTACCACCACAGAGGGAAGGACTGGGGTCCCCTGCAGCTCAGGGGTCACTCAGCCAGCTGGCAACTTGTCCCCCGGCCACAGAAGAAGCAGGCAGGCTTCACCAAAAAAATAAAAATAAAAACAAATCAGGCCCCTTGCCACTTCTGCCTTCACCAGGCACCTGCTGAAGCCAGAAGCAGTGAGGGGCCCAATCCTTTTTTTCTCTGAAGCCTGCCCTCTTCTCTTGTGGCTGGTGGGCAAGCTGACTAACAGCTGCAATGCATCATTGCAAGCTAAACTACATCAGGATGTAGTTTAGTTTGCAACAATGCAGACTCATTTTAACCCCCCAAAACTCTTCCATGTGTACAAAGCCACACAAAATGACATTTTTGTCATGTGCACATGGTAATGGTGTCACATGTACAAGTGCCCCCTGATCGGGGCTGTTTTTACTGAACCAGATTCCCAATACTTTTACTGAGGTCCCACCCGAGCAGATCCATGTGGGTTCTTACCTTAGCAAGCAGTTGTTTGTTCCGGTCAAGGTGTTTTCAACAGCACTTCTTCAGGCCCTGATCCTGCACAGGGCAATCACTGATTGCAATGGCAGGCTGAGCAAGAGAAAAGTGAGACAGTGTTGGCTGGATTGGAGCTTTAGGATTTTTATAACAGAACCAGTTGTCCTATTAGCTGTGGCTTAAGTCAGTTCTTCTCTGTGAATTGATGATTGCTGTCTGTAGGCAAAGAGTTAAGAGTTTTCATTAGCAATTCCAGAGCGAAACTGAAACCATGGACTACTGCCAAGCCAGCAGAAAACAAGCCTCAGTTTCAGGAAGCAAAACGCCCTTTTGTCTGCTTTGGGTTTAGCAGATTTCTAAACTGAGGAGGACAAAACTAACCCAGTTGGACTCCCCCTCTGAGCCATGGCCACAAGGAACCCTGTAGAAAATCTCCAGGATGACATAACCTGTTTCATCTGCCTGGAGTTCTTCAAGGACCCAGTGATGATCATGGGCTGTGGGCACAGCTTCTGCCGAGCCTGCATCAGCCAGTGCTGGGAGGGAAAGGAAAAAGATGTCTCCTGCCCTCAGTGCAGACTGACCTTTCCACAAAGGAACCTGTGCCCAAACAGGCTGCTGGCAAATTTTGTCAGTATAGCTGAGCAGCTGAAGGCACCGGCAGCCAATGGAGCAGAAGAGCAGTGGATGTGTAAGAAACATGGGGAGGCCTTGAAATTGTTTTGTGATGAAGATCAAATCCTCCTCTGTGTAGTGTGTGAGAGATCCCAGGCTCATCAAGCTCACACTGTGGTTCCCATAAAGGAGGCTGCCCAGGAACACAAGGTAGGTGATTAGTATCTGGGCTAATACGTATAACAGCTTTGGCAGACAAGGTTCTTTGGGTAAATATGACTTTGGAAGTTCATACAAGGTTAATTTTGTCATGTGTTTTCTGGTATGCTCCATTTCTCTCTTATTCCACTGTTGGTGGAATTGTTCTGTGAAACCTTCCTTGTATGACAGATGCTGCTCAGTGTATATATTGGTACTGGTTTCTATTGCAATACTAGATTACTATTTCTATTGCAATATTCACTACAAACCCTCTGCATCACAGAAGGACCTAGAGACCCTAAACAAGATCCCATCTTGATAGTTCTGGGCCATGTAGAGCAGCAACATTTGTCTGACCAGACAAGAGAAACAGAGGGGCAGGGACCTAAGTCACAAAGCAAGTCAGAGGCAGAGGTAAGAATAGGTCCCAGGTGTCCCAAGCCCCACTAGATCTTGCTGCCTCCCAGGAACAGCACCTAACACTCAGGCAGCCCTTACAATAGGAGGGAGAGACACCTAGAGAAAAGATCCTCAAGCCCAGCAGGTAAAAGGAGTTTCCCATGGGGGCTTAGAAACTGTTTGTTGCTTGGGTGCTTGGCCCTGATGACTCACTTGCAACAAAGATCTGTATTGTGTTAACAACCCTGTTGATTCTTGCACAGTGCATCAGCTCTATTCAACATATATGTTCCTGCCAAATGCTGCTTTGACTAGGCTTGACCACAGAGAAAGTAATTCCAGGGGATATTAAGGCAAGCCAGGTTGCACTGTGTTACAATGCACTTAACCAGACGACTTGCAAACTAGTTCAATTCACATCTCCCCCTGTGCTCATATAGCACAACCTTGGGGACCTCCCAGAATGCAGTTCTCCTGGCAGCATTGGAAAAATTACTGGAGGGAGGTCCCTAGTAGGGCCGTGCAAAACAGCACTGCTTCGTTTTGACTTCCATTTTGCTGTTTCAAAAGGACAGTGTTTCGTTTTGCTGTTTCAAAGCACTGTTCTGTTTCATTTTGTCAAAACTTTCACTGTTTTGATGCTGTTTCGATGTTTCACTGATAGGCCATCACGTCGTTTCTTTCCTGATTCAAATGAAAGAAGCAGGGATGGTAGCCCCTGCTGAGGCCACAAAGCCTGTCAAGTTTCAAGGAGATAGGTGCAGGGGTTTCTGGGAAACTGCACCTCAACTGTTCAGAGCAAAACTTGTGTCACTTGTAAGTGTGAAGGCACGGGGGGGTGAAAACAGCAGGCATGGTAGCCCCTGCTGAGGCCACACAGCCTGCCAAGTTTCAAGGAGATAGGTGCAGGGGTTTCTGGGAAACTGTACCTCAAGGTGGTGATAAACAAAACTCATGACATATACAACTTTTTATGCTGTTTTTCTGGGGGGTCGCTCCCCCAGAGCACTGGGGTTGGAAGGGACCTCAGGGAAGGATCACAGTTGCTGGCCAGCTACACAGTCAATGTCAGAGCAGTCCATCCCCCCTCCTCTCCTTCCCTCTCCTTACTTTCTGTTTAGCTGCAAGCAAGCCCAGCTTTGAAACTTGAAACTTTTCGAAACTTTCGTTTTGAAGCTGTTTTGTTTAGGAGCTGTTTTGAAGCCTTTCATTTTATTTTGATTTTGCTGTTTCAAGCTTGAAACACGTCGAAACAGCTTCAAAATGAAACCCCCAGCAAAATTTTGCACAGCCCTAGTCCCTAGAAAGCACTACAGCTGGAAGAGCTTAGGGCAGTGACAGGGGCAGCCATTCCCAGCACCCATCAGCATCGCTAGTGGTTTTTCAACTGTTAATGTCAGTTCAGTCCATCCAGTACAGTTACTACAAGGGTCCGGGATGAGGTTCAAGGGCAGATGAAAGTCTCAGCCCATGTACTGATCCCTCATGGCGACAGATTTCTCATGGCTACAGATTTCTCCAAGGAGCTCTGAAGAGCTGGGGTTTAGCTAGGAAAAAATCCGCCTCCCCCTTGCCTTCCAGCTCTCAAAACAAAAAGCATTCAAACCATTTCTGTTTCTTCAGGAGAAAATTCAGGCTCATTTGAAGACTCTTAGGGAAGAGAGAGAAAAGCTCTTGGCATTCAGAATGACTGGAGAGGAGAGAAGCAAGGAATATCTGGTAGGTGCTTATTGCTGCCGGGTGGTAGATGCAGGTGTGTCCCAATGTGTTTTTGGGCCCTTGTCTAGTTCTTCATGATCATGTGATCCATTTGTTGCCCCTGGAATCAGTCTCCATGCAGGACTGAGTCCTTCATCCTACTGTTCAGCATCTTAACTGACAGAGATACCACTGATACCACAGTATTTTCATCATATCAGATTTTAAAACACCCTAGCAGTGATGCTTGAGCAGACTGTGATGATGGGAACTTATTTCTCTTTTAACCATAGTGGATATTTGGGTGTTTCTGTCTGCAAAGAAATTTTCCTGTAGTTTATTCAGCAATGGATTTTTTTGAGTATTTTGGTGTTCCACCTTTCCTTGCCTAACCATTTTTATGATTGCTTTTCATTCTGTGTGTGCTTTTATGAAGAAATGGACAAAAGCTGAGAGGCAGAAAATTCTGTCTGGATTTCAGCATTTGCACCAGTTTCTGAAGGAACAGGAACAGCTCCTGCTGGCCCAGCTGGAAGAGTTGGAGAGGGAGATCGAGACGATACAGAAGGAAAACATCACTAAAATGTCCAAGGAGATTTCCATTCTTAATAACCTAATCAAGGAGATGGAGGGGAAGTGCTTGCAGCCAGCAGATGCATTCCTTCAGGTGGGGCTGATGTAGAAGGATCTCAGAGTCCTGCACAGGGAAGGTGGGAGGTGAGGTGGGGAAAATCCTTGTTTCATAGTTTCATATTTGGTAGGGTTAGAAGGGACCTGAGCAGATCATCAAGTCCGACCCCCTGCCCTGGGCAGGAAAGAGTCCTGGGGTCAAATGACCCCAGCAAGGTGTTCATCTAGCCTCCTCTTAAAGCCCCCCAGGGTAGGAGCCAGCACCCCTTCTCTTGGAAGTTGGTTCCAGATCCTAGCCACCCTGACAGTGAAGTAGCGCCTCCTGATGTCTAGCCTGAATCTACCCTCTGCCAGCTTGTGACCATTATTTCTAGTCACTCCTGGGAGTGCTCGGGGGAACAGGGACTCCCCCAATGCCTGCTGGTCCCCTCTGACTAGTTTATAACAGGCCACTAGATACCTGCTCAGCCTCCTCTTGTGGAGGCTGAACAGGTTCAGGTCTTGTAGCCTCTCCTCGTAGGGCCTGCCCTGCTGCCCCCGATTATGCGGGTGACCCTCCTCTGGACCCTCTCCAAGTTGCCCACATCCCTCCTGAAGTGTGGCGCCCACAACTGGACGCAGTACTCCAACTGCGGCCTGACCAGTGTCATATAGAGGGGGAGGATCACCTCCTTGGACCTGCTCGTTGGAAAAAATTCTTCTTTGCAAGCTTTCAGGTATAAATAACCTTCATCAGGCTGAGGAAGCACCTGCAGCTTGTGTTTCCCTTCCTGGATGGAATGAATAGTCATTTTTTTCTCATTTTATTTATATTTATATTTTTTCTCATAATATTGGATAATTCTTTTCCTGTGATCCTGAGTTCCACATGTGCATGACATATGAGACTCAGACACAGGTCCTCTCTTTCTTTCCCCTCTAGGATGTCAGGAGCACTTCGAGCAGGTATGTGGTTCTCATACCCTCACACTTAGAGATGCTGGGGTGGTTTTGCAGCCAGATCTCCAATGGGCACAACAGCAGAATTGTTGGGACAGGTTGAATTCTGGGTAGAAAACACTCTGGAGAACTTAACCCCTTAAATTGAAGCCTCCTTTTGAATGCTGCTGAAGCACCATATCCATGCGCTAGATCCAGCCTGTAGTGCATAGGTTGCTGAGCCCTGCAGTATGGGGTTGCTAGTCTTCCCATAGTGCTCCACTCTCCTGTGCCCCGCTTTCTAGCATGGTCAGCTGAGAGTAGAGCTTGGAGGCAGCTACACCTGCTGGGGAGTGAGTGAGGGACGAGCAGAGTGATGCAGGATGCCAGAACACCTTTGAAAAAGAAGAACTTTAAAAGCATGTTGCAAATTTTAGGTATTCCTCCCTCCCCTCCACCCCGCCATCAGCAGTTTTCAGGTTGTCCCCTTTTGGGACATCAAGAAATATAGCCACCCTAGCCAGAGGTCTCCCTTGTGGACTAGAGCCCTTCCAGGTAATCTCAACAGAAATCTGGGAATGTACCAGCTGCAAGAGCATGAACTCCCCTTTTACCCTTGGGGTTGCTCTCTCCTGGCCATAGTTAGAAGGATATTATGAGAGTACCCTGCCATTGCCTGTGCTACACAGCCCCTATGGAGGAATTGGCATGTCAGGCCCCATGACAGCAGCAGCTGTCACTAGCAAGGAACAGGAAGGTACTTCTGCCTTAAATAAAACACCATTAAATTGTTTCCCACCAGGTGTGATAGACAGATGTTTCAGCTGCCAGTGGAGATTTCTCCTGAGCTGGAACCAAAAGTCAGGGATGTCTCCTGCAAAAACGTTGCCATAATGGAGATTCTGAGGATGATTAAAGGTACCAAAGGAAATTAAGTGGGGAATTGGGGTGGAGATGCTGTGAATTTGGGAGGAGGTGGGTTCTGGTCAATTAGGTCATGGATAAGTAAATAATAAAAGTGGAACTTTTACAATCAGAAGAAATGTAGCAGAGGTGAAGTATCAGGACATCTCTGTAATTTATTTTTTCCCCGTGAGTCCTGCTAAGATCAATAGTGTACAAAGTACACCAGGTATTGAAGTCTTAGTCTGTTCCTCTCAACCACAGACGTTCAAGGCAAGTGCCCAAGAGCTCTTTTGGCTCTGCAGCTGCAACTGGAGTGAGTCTATGTAAGCACCAGGCTCCATGTCAGCATCCAAGAAGTTGACCCCACATTAAAGATGCTCTTTAATTAAATGAATTGGAGTGTCTCTCAAAGCCTCTTCCCTTCTCTGCCCCCTGCCCAAGAGGACAGGATGAGCTAAGCATACACCTTCACTTTGACCTCCTCTTTTCATCCTGACTGACAGCCTCAAATCCCTTCCTTCTTCCTCTGGCCCCAAAAGCTGAGTGGGGAGGTCCAGAGCCATGTTCTGTAGCAGCCACAGTAGCAGCTCCAAGCAGCCAAGGTGAGGGGCCAAAGGTTGGTTTTCTACTGGACTGTCCCATTTTTAAACACTTCGGGTGTCCCATTGATTTTGTTCCCATTTTCCAAAACTTCTGTAACCTTTTTAGGGCAAACTCAGCATCTGGAGCATCTCTGCTCATTCTCAGGGCCTCAGCCCAGAGAGGCAGCAACCCGACACAGCATCAGAAGCCAGAGGCATGAAACCTTATCTCTGAACTCTTT